TTGTTTTTGAAAAAAAATAATAAATTATAATCCATTAAAGATAAAAAATTTAGTCCACTGATTCGATTATGTTGCATTATAATCAATTAATTTTGAAAAAAAAATCCAATACAGTTCATTATAGTCGATTATAATCTTTTTCATTTTAGGACTAAATTCGATTATTTTTGCAAAATTTTGCTAATTTTGGGAGAAAATTGCAAAATGTATGCAATGTCTTTTACTAAATGCCATGTCTCAACGTCATCCCCTCACCCCTCAAGTTTTTTTTACCTCTCCCAACCCAACTAAAGGGCTGGCGTAAACTGAGGGGGGGCTCAGCTTTCGGTGCTCCAAATTCGTCTGAGATAGTCACCGGTGGAGCATCGTCTAGCTCTAGGGACAAGCTCCTTAGAATGACATCTTCTATGTTAAACTACGTGAATTGAGATGTTAAACTGCGATGAGTTAAAAAAAGAAGAGAGTTTGTTGTGAATGTAACATTTTATGAAACGTAATGAGTAGCAACTGCACTAAACAGGAAATGAGATAACTTTTTTAAAAAAATTTAAATTTCATGAATAACCCCTCGAAAAACTCCTTTCAACGTGAATAACCCCTTTCAACGATGATTTTTTTAAAAATTTGAAATTTTAACTTATCAGACATTGATCAAGGCATACATAAACATGCCATACAAAAGAAAAAGAATGCGTTTTTGAAAAAGTTATATGGCGAAAAGGAAAAAATCCTAAATAACTGTATCCAGGACTACGTTATGCACACAAAAAATTAATTTTGCATGCAAATAAAAAAGTTTTTGAAAAATGTTTGTTTGAGAACAAACATCAATTTGCGGTCAAAAAAAGCACAGAACAAATTTTGGAGCAATTTCAAAGCACTTGGAAAAAGTTTTGTTGTCTTTCATAAATAATATAACGAAGTTATCAAACTTTTAATTTTTGGCGAACATTTTCAACGATGATTTTTTTTTAATTTGAAATTTGAACTTATCAGACATCGATCAAGCCATACATAAACATGCCATACAAAAAGAAAAAGAATGCATTTTTGAAAAAGTTATATGGCGAAAAGGAAAAAATCCTAAATAACTGTATCCAGGACTACGTTATGCACACAAAAAATTAAATTTTGCATGCAAAAAAAAGTTTTTGAAAAAGGTTTGTTTGGTATAAACATCAATTTGCAGTCAAAAAAAGCACAAAACAATTTTGGAGCAATTTCAAAAGCACTTCGAAAAGTTTTTGTTGTCTTTCATAAATAATATAACAAAGTTATCAAACTTTTAATTTTTGGCGAAGATTTTCAACAATGATTTTTTTTATTTGAAATTTTGACTTATCAGACATCGATCAAGCCATACATAAACATGCCATACAAAGGAAAAAAGAAAGCGTTTTTGAAAAAGTTATATGGCGAAAAGGAAAAAATCCCAAATAACTGTATCCAGGACTACGTTATGCACACAAAAAATTAAATTTTGCATGCAAAAAAAATTTTTGAAAAATGTTTGTTTGAGTATAAACATCAATATGCGGTCAAAAAAAAGCACAATACAAATTTTGGAGCAATTCCAAAAGCACTTGGAAAATTTTTTGTTGTCGCTATCAAAAAAATGCTAGTCAAACAATTTCCATATATAGAAATTGTATGACTAGCATTTTTTTGACAAAAATTTAGACGTTTTTAGTTGTTACGGTACACCGAATTTTATGCCAAAACAAGAAAAATTGTTTTAAATTTGTATGATTAGTTTTTTTTCATAGACTTAGTTTATGGAATTGTATGATTAGCATTTTCGGTCTATGGAGGTCACCCCGGGCTTTAATCATATTCCATAGCTAAAATTTATTTATTTAACTGTAAACACTGACTGTTCTCAGACGGAGACTACTTATATTGATTAGAATCAAGCCGATCTTCAACTAAGCCAGTTTTTAACAGTATTTGATTAGGATCTAGTTAGAACTAGGAAACAAGAGTAAGCCTAAACTCGGTACGAGACTGAGGAGTTGCTTGAAAATATCCGAGGAGTTGCTTGAAAAAAAAAACAGCGCGATGAACAGACGGTGTACCTGATCTGAAATTTCTCCATGACTCAGCCCCAAAAAGCAAATCAACTGACTAGTCGAATTCAACTTACAGCTTCTTATGCGCATGGCTTTCTTGGCACGGATCGAAGCAGTCGCCGACGACCTCTGGCTCAAACTGGGCACCCTGATCCTCTCCGCCTCCTCCTCCAGATGCTGCAGTCTGTTTATCATATTGCTGCTGCTGGATGAGTCATAGTCCACTATTCTACCTCGTCTTCCGCCTCTCATTACGTCATAGTTAGGGATGTCTGTATCCCTCATGGATCCAGCTGGCTCATACGCAGTGTCTGGCAAAAAGTCCGGGTACACAAAGTGTCTGTTCGAGATAACGGAGGCGCAAAGTGCTGCATCAACTGCAATTATTAGCACAACGGTCTTGATAAAAGATGGATGGCTCATTTTGGGAATTTGAAGTTGTTCTTTCTAAAAAATAGAAGACGGATAATAAACCAAGTTTTCTGAGATGAGGCAGACAATAAATCTAGTGGCGTAAGTGCAACTGGTTTAATAATGATTTTTTATTGTGCTTTTGTTGTTGCGACTATCAATTGTATTGAAATCTGGATTAATGCCACTTTATTCGAAATAGGAATCTGTGATGATTTGGGACGAATCCGATTTTTATAGAAGATTGTGTAATAAATTGCAGAGGCTGACGGCAACGTGGAAGGAAGGAACGTGTTAAAATGGGCTGCTGTCGTCTGGAATCTGAAGAAGCCACACAAATGGCAAGATTTACGAGTGAGCGCAAACTGCCAAGTGACAATGAGCCAAGTGCACTATAATCGACACAGCCTAATGATCGGCGGGAAGCAAGCGGGAAACACCAGTTGGGTCCTGCGGCGATTTCTGCTCAGATTTAGCCTCAATTAGCACAAACAGTACTTATCCTAACTTGCATCACTTAAACGATTCTTTTAACCTTTTCACCATATGTGATTTGTCGTATGAAATCAAAAAAAAAACGAAACAAGAAGAAAAACTACAACCAAAATAGATAGCGTGAGTCCGTGTCGCTTTTGAAAATATTTGATATAGAAATTGAAAACCAATTTTCGCGCCCCATTTTCCTTCCAAGACTTGGAGAAATAAGACTGTCAAACCTGGGGTCAAAAGTTAATATGAAATGAAGAGCAATAGGTGACACCAATCTCCGGCTGTGATGTTTCGGCAATTCATAAATAATTCCTCTTCTTCAACCGCACTTCGAGAAAAAAGAGTTTAAAAATGGCTGCCTATTATAGTGCAGATCATTATTGTTGGATCAACAAATGTGATTCAATATGTAAAAAAAAACAAAAGAATTCACACTTCAAATTTTTATTGCTTACGCAAAACAAATTGGTCTCATTCAAAGTCTTCATTTTTATGATGACAGCCAGTGACGTGCGCAGATTTCTTCCTCGTGGAGAAGCGAAAAAATTGTTTCTTTTTTTGAAGAAATTTGTCACTTGAAAGCTATGCGTAAATATTCAATACTGTTCATCTAGTATTTTTTTAAAAATCCCGTTTTTCGAACAATTTTTGAAGGTATTTTTGAACAGTTTTTGGGATTACCAACCTAATTTGTTTTGCAGCAATATTTTGGCTCAAACCAAATAAGAAGGTTGCCAAAACGTATCAAGCTTTGGAAATTTCTGCACCGCTGAGAATACGATCTTCATTTCATTTTTGGGAAGGTTCGAGCAGACTAAAAATCCTCTCACAAAAATAGTCTCACGGGTGCAGAGTTCTTGTTTGGAACCAAATAAGGTTGGTTTGTTCAGCAAACTCAGGTTGCAAAACTGTTCTAGACCAGAGAGAACTATTGAAAAACTTAAAAACAAAGAATCTGCATGAGAAAGTTCGCCCCCCCCCCACACCTATTTAAGCACGCTCTATGGTACGGTTATCGTATTTCTTCCGATCAATCATTTAATATCTAAATAACTCTACCAGTTTGGACGCTAACCTGTTCAAAGTAAGCAACAAAAAAGATAAATAATTTCGCTTCCAGACTATCCGTATTTCACATACTAAATTTAGGATCAATCAGTACGACCTGGTTGAGAGAAATAGGCGTGGTTATGTTATGGCTATGTGCGCAATCTGAGTAACACCTCCTTAGATTAAGAGGCCTACAAATTTAACGCCATTGACCAGAGTATCGCGAAAATATATCTGAAAAAGGAATTCGACCTTTTCATTCAATTAAATTATACAACAAGGTTTCTTTAGGCCACGAACATTTTTTGGTTAGCGGTTTAGCTAAAGATCTTACCAGAACGAATTTGGTTATAATTCGATTAAACTTCAAAATGCTTTTCAAACAATAGACCAATAATTTCAATAGATTTGGTGCATTCACAATTTAGTATTTGTTCTCACAGGGCTAAATTATCGTCATCGCCAGTCAGTAAAAAATTCTTTGATGGTAAAATAGAAAAAAAAGAGCCTGAAATCAACATTTGCTCAGACGTATTTGAAGTAAAATGGCTGAAAAACCAACATCAGGAAAAATTGTGTCAAAATAAAAAAAATTACAAAGCACATGTTATTGTCTTTTTGGTCAAAAGCGGGAAAAAAATATCTAAAGTGTAAATAATTGTTAATTGGGTCGAATTGTGTAAATAATTGGGTAGGCAGGGGGTCGAATTCCTGAGGGGGGGGGGGGTCCGCTCCACCTTAATCCGCTATGCTATATCCGCTCATTTACAATTATTATTGTATATGGAAAATTTGAAAATTTAGATAGAAGAAATTAAAGAGAACTTATTCAGAATTAAGCAATCGACATTGGTAACAGTTATTCTGAAAAGTTAATCGAAGAAATGCGGAATTATAATCGGTTAAAAATGGATTTCATTGATTAGAAAAATAGTATCATTATAATCCATTTTTAATGGTTTATAATCAATAATTTTTGAAACCTATTGTGGCAGACCACAAAATTTCAATATAATCAATTATTTCCCATAGAACTCCGGTGCGGGTTTCAATCACAAAACATCAGATTAAGTGAACAAAAAATGCCCGCACTCAGTAAAAAGAGAAAATAATCGATTATATTACAACTTTAATTGTGCTCCTGTATCAAACTGTATCAAAATTATAATTAATTATTAGCGCCAAATTTAGATGTTTAAACGATTTATAATCCGTTATAATGATAACATTTTTCGTCACTTTATACTATTTTATAATCAAGTATAATTGATTACAATTTTTCCGAAACTCTCGTATAACCTCTTATATTCTAATATAACAGATTATAATACTTTTTTGTGAAAAATCTCTCAATTTGAGATGTCTGTTCACTCTTTGGTTCATCTGAACACAAAGTTTTTGACGAAACAAAATTTTCATAGAGATCCCTTCATATTAGTTGAAAGGTTCACGCGGTAGGTGAAATATAACTGTTTTATATAAATTATGAAACTAAAGCAGTGTGCTGATATTTTAGGGTAAAAAAAATAAAAATTATATAACATGAAACAATTAAATCAAGAAGAAATGAAAAAATGAAAACGGTATAAATTTGAATTGATTTGAAAACTGTTAAAACAATTTTCCCATTCTTCAGATAAACCAACGTCTACGAAAAGCATAAAATATAAGCTATTCATGTGCAAGGTCGAAGACAAAAGGAGCAAACAAAAGGGATTATAAACAATTATAATCCATTATAATTGATTTTTTCTGCAAAACAAATTAGATAGAAGTTTTGATAAATTATTCGATCATAACCGATTACAATGTTTTAGAATTGATTATATTTGATTTCAAAACGAGAGATTATAATCTATTATCAATTAAAAAACATCAATTTTTTCTCAATTTTTGAAAGACTGGTACTAAAATCATTATATAATCGATTATTACCGCTTAAAGTTGGATACGGTTGACTCCTGATTTTTAATCCCGGTTAATACTATTCTAAACTTTTAACTTCAAAAAATTTTTTTTCATTTTAATGAACCTCAGCTTATGAGGAGGTTCTCAGGGAAATTATAACAAAGAATAGCATTAATTATTAACTTAGGAAAGTTTCTGATATGTGGAAGTTTCAAATCTCTTTGTAGGATTGAAAGGTGGGCGCAGTTTATAGCGAGACTGATTCAATGGAAGTAGTACTTTCAATGGCTCAAAACAGGCAATATACCACACAATTAAATTGACTATGCCCTAGCTAAAGGCAATTTAAAGGAAGCGCAACTTTAAGATTAACAAAGAAAAAATACCCAAAAAAAGTCAGCGCCAATTTTTTGGATTCAAAACGCCCGGCCAGGAAGAACTTGAGATATGAAAAAAACCTAGAACAGCCGCAAAAAATATGAAAAAGGTTAGATGCCAGCTATATTTATCATCGCAAAAAGTATACAAAAATAAAACAAGACTGCTCAAATACAGAGCAAAAACCTGATTGTTCCGACTGCCCCGTAATCCATATCAAATAGCTTTAAAAACACCGAAAAACTATAAATAGAAAACAAAATCAAAAATCGACTGTAAAAATTTGAGTCGTAAAAAGTTAATACAACCGATTAGCTAGCCTCAATTCAAATTGAACCAAATTTATTGAGCGGGATAATTTGCCACGCTCAAGTAATTTGTGTTACGCTTTCAGAATTATAAAAAATCTTCAAGGGGCGCATAAATTAGTCGAGATCATGACCAAATTGGCAACTTTCAAACTCCTATATCTTTTAAAAAAATAATCAGAGGTAAAATATCTTTGTACATTTGACTTCAGTGCGCCGATATCTTCAATAAGCTATAAAAAAACTTTGTTAAGAGCTATAATTTCGATGGCCGAAAATTTACAAAAAAAACGCCCAAGGATAAGTATTTCGTTTTCTTTGAAAGTCTGAGCATTAAAAAATACTGCTCGTATATCAGGGCGCAGCCCTATAAATTTTAACTGAATTATAAGGACAATTGAAAATTATTTGTTTGAATATGAATAATTGATGAGCGAATTTAAAAAACAATTTTTTTTTTCATTTTATCCCTCACATGCAAGTTAAAATACAAAAATTGCAATTAGCATTTCATATTGCTTTAGTAGAATTAAATTACTTGCCGGAATCTAATTTAGCAATGCATTAACCCACAGGTTACGCGTGTCGTATGAAGGCAGTATATCTTCGAAAGTCAGAACAAAAAGCTAATCAACATAAGAACAGAAAAAAAAAGTTTTGTGCTGGGGCAAGTGTGATTTGGCGTGGCAACACCATCATGGAAATCTTAATTCAATTTCAAATTTGTCGTCAGGGTAGTTAAATTATCAGTTTGAAAATACAATATTGATCATATCAAGTCGACGCTCTGTATGTTGACTAAATTCAATCATCTGTTAAATATTACAAGTAGCATACATTAATTCAGTTTGGAACGATTTCTTAGACGGATGAAATCTCTGCTTATAAGCATTAAAATTTCAAAATATATCGCGCGTATTTATCTATATTCGCCAAATTGGCAATTTTTACACCCCTGAGAATTCGAAAAAAGATCACAGATAAGAAATTGTTGGTTCAAATTTTAGCTTAAAACATCAATTTTTCTCGGATGATTTAAAAAAACTCGCAAACATTGGCTATTAAAAAGCCAAAATTGGTCTGGAAAAAAAATACTTTTGGCACAAATAATCGATGTCAGACGCATTTTCTTTGAAAGTATTAACATATAAAACCGAGCCTTAACAATTAACTAAAGCCACAAATAAAAACTTTTTTCAGATAGATAATTGATTTATTGAGTACAACCTTTAGTGGACAGGGCCTTCCCGGGTGTCAGTGGAATTCTCCAATTCCTATAAAACTCTTTCAAACTTTTTAAAAGCTTGCTCATTAGATAACAGTTCCTAAAAAATCTTAAAAGAACTGAAATCTGATGTAAAATTATTTTAAAAGAATACATTCCGCTAAGTATCTCCAGAGGCGAGAGAAGGATGTGTAAATTAGATAAGTGCATGACCTTTATCATCAAATGCTCATGTTTTTCAAAAAATGCCCAATTTTGCTCAAAATATTGCATTTCAACTTAAAAAGTCATCTCTCCGTGCATTAAAAAATTCATTGAGTTCATGCGTTGGCAAAGGAAAATTTGGTTTTGCTTTTTATATTGACTTGAGACTGCGTGATTTACTGTAATGTGTGATATTTTAATTGCACAGCTCGAATGTGTCGGTTTTTGCGTAAACAATTTGGACCTGTTGAAAAGTTATTTTGCTGGTAGAAATCAATATGTCAAATACAGACAGTGCTGATTTAAATTAACCGGACAAAACGCGCTAAACTTGAAATTTAAAATGCATTTTTCTCAAATTGGGTTGAGTTTAGGTGAAAACTTATGTAAACAAAACTTGCTTAAAGTTTTAACAAAATTAATATGGTGTAATTAGTTTTGCGAAATTCAGGCCCAAAGTTTTAACCCAAAAATGGGTCATTTTGGCTTTTCTTAGTTATTCAAAAATTACGCCGAAAACACCCAGTCGATCACAAAGATAAATGTATCAAAGTGAGCTCCTTACGTATCCCAACAAACTTTAAGAAGGGTATAATCTCCAAAATATTGTAAAAGTTAATTTATTTTGGTTTGATAGACAAAAAAGATCATTTTTACTATATAAAATACCAATTTTTTATTTGAAATCAATTTTTAAACAATTTGCAATTTTTTTGGAGAAAATAGCTTTCATGAATTTGTTGGGCTACGTAAGGTGCTCACTTTGATATAATTATGTCTGTGATCGAATGGGTGTTTTCGGCGTAATTTTTGATTAACTAAGAAAAGCCAAAATGACCAATTTTTGGGGTAAAATTTTGGGCCTGAATTTCGCAAAACTAATTACACCATAATAATTCTGCTAAAATTTTAAGCAAGCTTTGTCTTCATAAACTTTCACCTAAACTCAACACAATTTGAGAAAAATGCGTTTTAAGTTTGAAGTTTAACGCGTTTTGTCCGGTTAATTTAAATCAGCACTGTAGATGATACAATTCCGGATACATGCCCACTTCTTGCTCAGTCAAAAGACCGCTACTTTTTCTTTTATTTATCACTTATTGTTCCGACTTTCGATACGAAAGTAACGGAATATTTGTGCTCGGGGTGGGTTTTTTTTCTTCAGACAAATTTCGACTTTTTAACTAGCCATTTTTGACGGAATTTTTTTATATCATTCAAAAGGTATTGTTGTCTTGAGCTTAAATTTGAAAAGATATTTCACCTGTGATCATTTTTTGCAAAGTTATGAGGGTTTAAAGGT